TACATGAAGACAAATGAATCATGACAGCTTCAGTCTGTTTTTTAGTCTAGTTTTTTACGTGTATGACATATCATTTTGGGAAAGAATCAATCTAATGTTGACCGTTGTACCTAAATTTTGAATTTAAGATGAAAAGTTTGAATAAATACAAGGAGGTATTAAATATATATGTTCATGATAATTTGAAAATATAATTTATGGTTGAATCGAGACAAATACATTTTTAACATGGCAAAATTTTAAGGCTTACTAACTTCTTTGAAAGTGCATTTTAATATTGTTTGCAACTTAATTTTCAATTGATGTTCTTGATAAGGTAAAGATGATATCAATTCTTTTGATATTGTTTCAGCTATGGACAAGATGAATGGCTACATGTTAAATCCAAAAAATGTAAAATAAGTGAAATAAATTCTCAAAAACTTGAAGATAACCAAACATTATGGTATATTGTTTTGAGATTCATTAGAAAATGTCAAATCTTTGCTATTCTATGTTGATGATGATTATAAATTCTTGATGATAAATACATTGGTTAGATTTTTACTATAAAGAAGTGAGTAGCTCATCTCACAATAGAAGCTAAAAAGAAAACAACAACAAAAGAAGCTAATTGATTGAATAGGTTAATTATTGAGATGAAATTGAAACACTTTGTTGTCAATCATTATTGTCATAATCAGAGTGCATTACATCTTGCTATAAATCAAATGTTAGATTATAGAGTGAAACACATTGACACCAAGTATTACTTTAGGAGAGATGCAGTTTTGATGAAAAAATTAGAGCTATTCAATATTGATGATAAATTCAATTTAACTGATGAGTTGATCAAATTTAGTTATTGTGAGAGTTTTAGTAAACATTGTTCTACTTTGTAAGTTTTGCACAAGGAACATAAGTTTAGTTTACAAGCAATTTTGTTTTATATATATATATATATATATATATTCTATAATGTTTTGGTATTTTGATACTTAATTCTAATTAGTTCTAATTTAAAGAGTATCCCATGTTATTTTTTTCTTAAATTCTTGTAAAGTAATTATATGAGTCATGGAGATCATGACGTGAATTAATCATATTATCGCTAGTAGTTAACTCAAACATTAATACTTGAATTATACTTAGAGACTTGAATATACCTCATCAAACAAAATAAAGTTTTCAATAAATATTTTATATTTTCATCTGTGAACACATTTTGAGCTCACGTGGACATAATTTGCAATCGTGTAAATTGGTGTTAAAATTCGTTTGTATGCTCATGGATTCATGTTTTTTTTCATCTAATCCAAAGTTAAATATAATAATACTACTTTTATTACTAAAATAATTATACTATATTTTCAATTATGTATTAGAAATATTAATGTAAAAAATCAACCATATTTTGAAATTAAATAAAATTTCAATTAAAAAAAATTTGTATACAAAATTTGTGGAATTTGATTTTCGGATAATAAAAATAATCATACTTACATGAACTCAAAAAATCTACATATTTTAATCATGTACTAAAAAACTAATACTTGAATAATATTTCAGAAATTTTATCATGATTATAAAAAATGAAGAAATTTTTACTTTTTTCATGAAAAAAGATTTGAATTTTTTATTAAAATTAAAAAATTCATTATTGATAAGCTATGGAATTTGAAAAAATTTCTAAATCAAGATTAATTTGAATTTGTAAGATGCTAATTAAAAGAATTGATTGATTCCTGACATATAAAAATTTATACATGGTAGTCGTGTATTTCATTCTTAAGTGTAGCATCTAAACTGTAGCTAGATTTAGCAATTTGACTCTCTTAGTGAAGATCTAAATATCATGTTGAGTCATATCTCTATAACAACATTATCAGTCAAAATGTTTCATTTGTTGATTTCATACTACATATCATTTACATATTCAACATTTGTAATTTATCTAAGCATTTTAATAATATAAGTATTCAACTTGAACATTAATCTCCAAGTTTAAACACATATCCAAATCATTGCATTGAATTTTATTTATAGTGATGATATATATATATATATATATATAACTTTGTTCAATTTTAAACCACACATAAGATCAAAATTCAAAGGATTTTTGAAATTTAAAAATATGTAAGAATTCACTTCATAGCTTTTTAATGTATATTTTTTGATGTAACATGTGTACGCTAGTTTATTTCAGATCAAGAATGTTACAATATTTATATTATGTTTTTATTTGACATAAGTCTCAAATTAATTTGAAGATTGTAACATATTGGGCTTCATTTTGTGGATTTCATACTTATTGTGCATAGAAACAAATATATTTCAATAAAACTTAAAACTCTTTTATTGTATGAAATTTTTAAAGAAAAATAAAAAAGTGTAGTTTATTAACTGCTGAATTTCTAGAAATTAGAAACTAGATGTTAATAAATTTATAGCTTTTTAATGTTTTGAATTTAGGATTAAAAAATGTTGATGCAGTAAGAACTTTTTTTTAAAGTGCAGATAAAAAAATTTGAAATTTGAAATCTGTAATTAACAAAAGAGAAGGCAGCTTACCTCAAAACCTTTTCTGATTCCCGCCCACCAATGCTTAGACCAGGTAATAGAATTTTTCACATGTATGCCTTTAAGGTATTTATAAAATCAACATGAAAACTTGCAAGCTTTTGACAACTACATTAGTTCTTAACTTAGAGCTTTCATTTCTATTTGTACTACATATGACATGTAGAAAATTTTGTTATTCAAGTTTTTTCTAACAAGGCACCAAAAAGTTTGAGTATTTGATGATTTGCATCAGACATCACATATGTTGTTGATATGAACAACACTAGCATAGAGGTAGCATAGCACCTTTTCAAAAATAGAACCAGAATCAAATACATTTTTTCTAAATCCTTGTAAAATCGTCTAGTTATATTATCTAGAAGCTTGGCTTGATTTAATTTTTGAAAATTTTTTACAAATTTACATGTTTTGAGGCATGCCTGTATGTATGAACAAAATTATATGTAAATCTAGAGTTATAGATGAGTGAGGAAATAAAAGTGTTTTTAAATTGGCTGTTTCTAGGTGGAAATAATTGCACTTTCAATATACGAATGGATTTTTTGGTTTTCGATGTTCTGTGATTCCTTAGATAGAAACTTGGAGATTCTGCTCTAGTCTAGTCTGGGTTTTAAGCTTTTGTTTTCGTGTTGATTGACCACACTTCTAAGAATATATTTTCTGATATGTCAAATGTACATATTGTAATACTAGCATGCCTTTTGATCTTGATCTTTTGATACTAGCATGGACATGCCCCGACAAATTTTGTTGTGACTCCAATCCTACTTGATAGACTATGTACTACCCGTTAATGATCTTCTGGGTTGGAGCAAGATATGTAGTACCTTAAGACAATATGGAATCGAAAACTGTGAAATTCGCTACCTACGAGTGATATGTGCCCACAAACAGGTCAACCCTCATGATGCAAGTAGGAAATCATTCACACAAACATCGAGGAGGAAATCATCTTTAAATACACATCATACGAGGTCAAAGTTGCCAAAACGTAACATACTTGTAAATGTACTCTGCCCACGAGAAAGTAGTACGATGTCAAAGTAAAAACTCCTTAGAAAGCTTAGTGTGGGCATCATACAAAAGGAGTTCACCAAGAAATATGTGTGCTGCTGATATAATAGCATTTTTTTAGTGACCTGCAATAAGAATTACTTCTTTATATTTTGTGTGGTTTCCAATCTAGTGATTTATTATGAAAAAGTTGATAGTGCTAGCTCTTAATTACAATTTGTTGACATAGATAAATAAGAAATGGCAAGTAATTATAAAAAAATTTAAAAATCTCATGTTTGTAAATTTTTTTATTGAAACATGGGTTTTAATTTCAAAAATTACCTGAGTGAAAACAAATCACCATCAGTATATAATATTTGTAGACATTGGAGCATCAAAACATGTTACTGGACTATAGGTGAAAGAGATCACCCTACAAGTAATGTCACATGTTACAAACTTTTGTTGAGAAAAAGTTTTCTTTTTTTATATTTTTTTAATGGATGACTGAATCATTAGTCCAGAAGTTCGTGATACCAAAAGGCATATTCCGTTGATTCAATTCAGACAATTTTTTCCAATATAATTTTTTTAAATACAAAACATACAGGATGATTTTGCATACATAAATGCAATATTCATGATTGTATTTAGTACCATTCCTGAGACAGCATAAGAAGACATGTATGGAAAAACACATATATGATCTTTAATTTAGACATTGACATTTTAAAAGAACAGCTGATTTAAAGAAAAAATTTGACGTAAAATAAGTGAAGAAAATTTCTTCTTTTCAAACTTGAAAAGAAGTGTGGAATTAGGGAGTTAAGTTTCTACTTGTAACTATATGAAAGATTGTATCATCTTATATTTGAATATATTCACAGTGTGGTTGAATATGTGATAACTGGATTTCTTGTGTAATGTAAATACTTATCATTCACAGAGTTTATATCATGTCCTATGCTACGATATATGTGACTAAAGTTTAAACAATGACGTATGGATATACCTTTGCTACCAAACATGATCAGTGTTCAAACGCCAAAATTTCTTCGTATTGAAAGGTTATGCAGGTAGCATATACTTGATCAAGCTCCATGTCAAGATGATAAGTGTTAAGAGAAAACTACACCAAGCTTCAAATTTTGTGAATTTTGTTAGACACAATTCCGCACACTCTACAAGTTGTTTGGGTTTTGGAAATCTCTCCATAGAAAAAGTCTCTATGCCATCATAATAACTGACTGGTTAGAGAATAGTACAGAAGTGAAGTTGCTTATGAGGACAGTTAATATAACAGAAAATTACCCTGAAGTATCCGAGGGTAAGTTCTCTTCCGAAAACCCGACTTTTGGTCATCTCCCGATGTCCTCGTTACTCCCGCCTAGTAAAGTCATGTTACTATGCCCTCATCAATTGAACCTGTGGATAAACACAAGCACCCTCCAGATCGCTCCCTCTTTTGCAAGATCCTCCAGATTGTGATGAAATCTGCACCTTAGCAACAATGCCACTGGAAATAAATGGAATTTGAGAGAGGGCACGGAGTATCGCACCTCAAGTGACATGTATCTGCGAAGCTGCCCTCATCAGTTTTCTCCGTCGCTGCGGGAAGCTGCCTCCAGATCCATTTGAGTTGTCAAGAGGCAAGAAGTGCAACACTTGTGGTTCATCGGGACGATCCATCAAAGTGCAGATGAGGATCTCAACTAAAGCTTGTGACTGGGGAGAAGAAGTTGAGGCGAGAAAAGACATGGTTGGGTTCTTACTCTGCTCTATCGTGTGTGCAGGATGATTGATAAACTTTATGCCTCTCATCAATCATTGTTGTATTCGGATGATTTTCCCCGGTGAAATTTCATTCTTCTCACTGTCGGTGCTCGCACATCGTCGATTCAAATTTCTGCCACTGCTCACGAAAATAGACATTCGCAGAACTGCGTTCAACCTTACAATAGTCCAACGGTGTCCATACCACTTTAACTACCACTGCAGTCCAGAGCTTGATCATGGCGAGCTCTACTCTTGAATTCTGCAAACTACTTTTGTCGAGGAGCTAGCAGTATAGCCAAAAGAATGCGAATCTCTTCGCGTGTGGACAAAGCAGATACTTTTGGCACCTGTGTCGGAATCTTTCTAGGGTGGGGTGCTCCAAAGTGATGTTGAATGCCAGAGGTACTCTCAAATATATTTTATCCAGGAAGTTTTATTTGTTTACAATACACATAAGACGTTTATAATTAAAATGATACCCTCACCATACCTTTGTCCAGAAAGTACCCAAATATATAATTTATTTTCGACACTAATTTATGAAGACAAATGTATAGTTCAAAATGAGTGGAAGGCAACTGAACTTCCACGAGCTCCTATGTAGGATGAGATTCATTTCGGCGGTAGGTAACGTGTGCAAGAGTTCTGATAGCGTCCGACAAGAATATGTTGTGCATTGGATGTCTGCGATTCGTCACCAGCTCATTCGAATGCGGACATCGCCACGGACGGTCGATAAGTTAATTCTAATGCTCCTTGGCATTTCAAATTTTAAAAGAGAAAGGGAAACAAATATTTGAACGAGCATACTCTCGCATCTAGAACCGAGTTTCCTTGACGTTGCTAATGGAGCGATATTCTGCCAAATTTTTTAAAAGATTCTCGTCTAGGATGCCTTTTGTTATTTGTAAGAGAAGAAACGCTGAAGATGAATTAGAGTGCGCAACACTCTCATGTTGTGCAGCTTACATTGACCGCAACGAGTGAGGATGCACCGTAAAATTCGCTCGAGCGATTGATATCGTTCGTTGAATGGAGGAACGAAGGGAGGAATGTGGAAAATTTTGAGGCTTGAGCGATATGATGTTGGCTCATGCGACGCTCGCGAAACTCAATAACCGACAGTAGATGACAGGAAAGACGGTGGAGAAAAGGCATGCGTCATCATGCGCGGGGTTCTTTTGTTGTGTAGCACAGACCTACTAGCACCTGAGTGCAAAAAGGGATTGACAAGCCTTGCGTTCCTTTTTGATCAGACATCAGCCTTTCCTGTGGAGACGGTTCCAGTTCAGTTTGCTGGAGTTCGTTTCTGACGGTGAGGTGACGGCAGGTGACGTGATCACTCATCAATATCCACATCAAGGCAATTTCACGTGCCTTTTTGCACATCAGCTTGTGGATCTGACATACAAGGACATCGTATGCAGATCTCGAAACTAGCTTCAAGATAGACATCTTCCGTCATGCTGACCGCACCGTCGCCACTTTTCCCATAATACGGTACAGTATTGCACTCCCGTTCCCATTTGGTCAGTCGCATGTTTCGGTGAATTAAAAATGCCCTCCGCTGGTGCCACAAGATGTTACCTGGCGTGCCTTTACTGTCGGAGGGGGCATTCCGCATTTCTTACTCTCTCTGTGTCTAATCTTTAGGACTAATATGCTCAAGGTGCAGCCGGAGGCCATCAATTGCTGGACCCTGTCGAGGATCTCGTTCAGTTTTTCATCTCTTCCTCTGGCCCGTTGAACTGCAATGTTTCCCAATCATTGGTTTAAATTTTGCATGCAAATCCGCAATAATTTGAGTCCTCCTTTACTCCAACATCTCGAATTATTCTTTGCGAGAGTCGGAAGCACTTACCCCAATTAATAAAAGGTTTTGAAATTTGCTCTGGAATTTTACTCTGCCGGTAACTGCGCCAGCCACTAGTTCTCTGATTTCTCCCAAAAAAAACTACCTCTACTTGCAGCTACCCTGAATCTACCGAGAATTGAGGTGATAGAATTCAACTCCTATGCATCTTCAGATCTCGCGGTCTGTGAATTCTGAATACCCATTGAGCATGGATCTGTAGGAGGCCAATTATGCCTGGTACTCGATAATACCCACAGAAGAGATGTATCAGAAGGATGCACATACTGAGCAGAGCAATAAATATCATGAATTATCTCGAATCTGCATGAACTCGTCGCGTACCATATGTTTCTAGATTCTCACTCTATGGAATATTCCTCTTACTATGGGCAGACTTATTGCAGTACAGTTCTATCGAAAAAACATACTGACCACGTAGGCATACGTTGTGGAGTATGGAAATGCATGGAGAGTCCGCTGGAGACTGGTCCTCACAGATTAAGGACTGCCGGCCTTCGCAAAAACTTGCAGGTGCCATTTCTCAGAATCCTGTCGAGTACTGAAATCGAAGCTGCTTGGTACGCCCGTGACGACATGATCATCCTCATGACTTGAAGACCTGGATCTACAAAAAGTTTGACGTATTTCATCACGTTTGAATAAAAAGAAAGTGGTATGGATCTCCTGTCATCTGAATAGAAGAATAAAATGTCATCAATTTAGAGACGGGTGGCGTGTTTATATTGGCTCTTTCGGGTCTGTTGACCATAATTCTACAGCATATTGTAATCCATACTTCATACAATCCAGTACCAAGCTGTATTTAAGGAATTTCTTGCAAAACATGCCAGTTAATGATCCAAAGAAATTACCGCTTACAGTTGCCAGGAACCGGGACGGCAGCTAGAAGTAGCGGCTGCTTAAACCAAATCAGTCAGTGTGGCATTGGGTTTCAGGTCAGTTTTGGAGCGAACTGACGTTCGACTGTCGACTGCCTTACTTAACTTAACAAGTACCTGTCCAGAATTCTCTAATATCAGAATTTCATTATTCTTATGTCAGGCGCACTTCATAATGCATGCTTAGTAACTGATTTATGGTCGTGCATGCGACAATCTTAGCAGAAAGACGGACTTTCTCCGTTGATCACACACTGAGCAAAATCACCTCCACTCTCGTAATCAGTTGTCGGTTCGAGGCCAACAGCATTCCGCACACACTAACGTGCTTGGTGCTGAACATTTCCTCGACAAAGGCCGCACTACGAGGGCCTTTGTCGACCTTTGTTTCTATATTATATTGCACTATGTGTGAAATACTGTACTTGATATCTCGTAGAACTTGTGCTTGCATCAGCTTTCATTCCACGAATCCCATGAACAATGTCTTGGGACGGGCAATATTCGAGTCTTCTTTTCCGAATGTAGTCTTCGATGAATTTGACTACTCCAAATCGCCCAGGCCTCCAGGATAGCAGTTCGCACGTACAAAATTGGGAGAATTTTCTCAAGTGGAAGCTAAGGAGTAGATAAACCTCCTAATTGTCTCCCAAGTATCAAGGACGGATATGGAAGAGTTAGTACTTACACCTGGAAGTCACTCGATTTCCCAACCCACAAATTGGAAGAAAGTCAGAACTAAGACAGAGCTTCTTTGGCAATTGATATCTGCCATGAAACAGCGAGATGGTCATACCTACCCTTTATTTTCCTTGGATGATTGTCATCATTTCCAGCCCTGGTTTCGGCCGCAATATAAACCCAAGTTTATTATTAGTTACTCTATTTGTTAGTGATATTTTTTCTTCTCACTTCTGCTCGCATCAACCGTAAGAAGTAAAGAAGTAATTCTACCTTTGGAGCTAGAACTGTATCAGTTTGCGAATAACATTATACTAACTTCTTACGTCGTGAAGACCATCTGCCTTTTGAACCTATGTCACTTTTTTTCGCGAATCAAAAAGGTGATCTTATGGGTCATTAAGCATCAATATACACTTCTGCTGAGTATAAATTCTCTTGGTTCATGATACACTCATGCAATTATCTATTAAGTTCTGAGTGTTAGGTTTCGTTTTTTACTTCAGTTTAGTTAAAGAAATTGTATACAGTTTGATCGTGTAATGATTGTTTCAATTACGTAATCGAAGTTTCGTATTCGAAAAAGTAATGTTTGATTACCTAAGATATCGTCACACCGCAGTCTCCGCTCCGGTTCGGCTGACAAAACCGAGTAGGGGTCATGATATTACTGAAACAGGGACGGACATACTATTCAAGAAGACTAAGCACTGACGAGGAACTTGGTCCACAGAAGAGTTCGTATGAAATTCTTCTTCGGATGTTAGCAACTTTTGAAAGTCCAGAGGATGACATTTGGAAATCGAGAACAGTATGCAAATCCTCACTTGCTAGTCCATTTTAACATGTTAGAGTCCGCAGCACTCTTTGGTGGACAAGAGTATTTGGGACTTGCTTATGAGGGATGAAATCAAATGAATCATTACTGAAACTGTGTCTCTGAAACCTTATGTATCGTGAGGCAGGTACATTCTTGCACCTATGAAGAGCCACTATGAATTGCATTGATAAGGATTAAGATTTCCTTCTCATCTCCACAAACCCATACTTGATAAGAAGTGTTACAATAATAAGCAAAATTGTCTCCTTGTTCCGATATATACTCAATCATCAAAACAAAATTGATGCCAACTACTATACAAATGAATAAATAAATGTATATAAAAGTTACTTTTGACAGAAAATTCATGATTGCCCCGAACCTGAGGTAAACTATTCTACGGCCTCACAGTGGACGGACATCTCCAAATATCCATTGATATGGAGATATGATGAATTTTGTGTGTACGTTAACGAACGTACAAGACGAAAGCAAGACGCGGGAGTGCTCCGATAGAATGTCAGAAAACATAAGCGAGTAAAATATTGGGGAAGTCACTCTGCCAATTATTTTCTAATATCTATCTTCATTTCATTTTTCGAATTGCTCTTCTGGTGTTTTCCTTCCAATATGCGCTAGCTTCTAACCATCAACAACTTTTTTACTTGCAAAGTGATTAAAATAAATCAAAAAGAATTTCAGACTAGTGGACGCCGATTCCCGATGACCCTGACACTGTGGTACGGTACAGAGAACGTCATGCTCTTCGTCTTTGAGTCGAGCATGACGTTTGCTCATTTGTAAGTTGGACAGACGCGAGAAACTCGGAAGGACGTCTATTCAAAGGCAGACTTTCCCATGCAGTGGTAGAATACCACGTGTGCTGGCACTTTGTATCTGATGTCACGGTGTTCGAGACTGACGTCAGGATGACGAACATTGAGTACTGCTTGTTTCTGACTATCTTATCTGAAGTTACGAGCAATTTAAGGAGAGTATATGGAATGATCGACGATTGCTGAAATGGGCAAACCTACTGTCGCCATTGGCAATGAGGATCAGTCGGTAGATTGGTCAAGTTGGAATAGTTTAATATTTGTTTCAAAACACTTCCGACGTGTTTGTTACCCTTCCCAAGATCCGACTATTCCTTCTCATACTAGTGACTGTCAATCTATAACTTTGTTCTGTTCCAGTTCTCTGAAAAACAACAAAGTAAATCACCTACAGTCTTTCATATTTTTGTTCTACTATTCGATGAACCTTTCTTTTCTGTGTATCATGTAAATTACATCACATATACAAGATACTGAGCTATTTATAAAAATAAAGTGATACACGGTTGACTTATATATACCATCATTGGGTAATACACTTCATGGACTCTAAACTGCATAGACAACAAATTAGTTTGTATTTGGGGTTTTGAGGGTCATAAAAATTCCATTAAATACTCATTTGCATACAGTTTGAAATTCTAATGGGCGATTGATGCTTGGAAGCATCTGGAGATAGAAGATTGAATATATCCAACTTCGAGATAAATTATAAGCCTCAACATGTTAAGTGGTTGTGATCCAAAGTAGTGAAAAATTTGGAACCGAATCATGTCTTGCAAGGAAATGAAATTTACCCATAAATCAGTATGAGTACATACGCACTTACCACTATTCCACTGCCAAGATATCAGCGTATTTAGCGTAATTTATATATTCAGTATTTTTTGTTCCCAATACTTTAGTTATCCTTGCATTGTAACACGTGGAATTGCATCTATACAAATCCCCCAAAAAAATACCTTACCTTTACAATATGATCGGATTATCACTGGACTATTAAAAGGAAAGTAGTGGTCACAGCCTTAATTTGACTTCTGTATTCTTCACAATTTTCATTTAGATGTTTCCAAAACTTTTTTAAATAACAATAATCTTCTCAAGGAAAAATCTATGAAAATAAAATTGACGTCATTTTGATGTAATTTAAGATTAGCATAAAATCTTGGTGCATATTTTCAGTCATAAAATCTTGGACCTTAATTGTTTTCCTATTCTTCTCCAGACATTATCTGCCCGATTGCAGTCCAGAGCTTGTTTTCCGACTTTTTGCGCCTGCGATGTTATCCCTTTCCACTGTACTTCGTTACAGTGTTTCTGGCTCCTGTCCCCACCCTCATGGTCACAACGTCATCATATGTCATGATGAATAAAATAAATGAATGATGAGAAGAACGTTAGATTTTTCGAACTTTGCCATATATTTCTCCTAGTTTGTGTTGGAAGCCCATTCTCCATGTGAACAATATACTTTTAACAAATTCAAAAAAAATTCTCGAAATTTCCAGCTTTTACGGCTACTCGCACGTGTTTACCTCATCGTACATACGTATCTTTCTTCGGTTCAGAACTTCATACTTGTGTTAACCACCAACTAATCATAATATTTCGTAGAGAGCCAACTATAATATGGACTACAATAGTCATGAGAGTAGATTTATTCGTTTGTCAAATTGAAGTTATTCACTAGTACAACACCAACGACGATGTCTTTCTAATTTGTTAACAGGCATTACATTGCATAGTAACTGTTCATTTCAAGGACATTTTATTTGGTTTTGAAATTAAGTGGATATTTTCTTGAGCTATTCAAAAATCAGGTCACTTGTATGATGGACAAATCAAATAAAATCAATTATTTTTAGAGGTTGAGGCATTTTGATTTACTGTGCTTTGCTGTCACAAGGTTTTAGCTTGGTTGCTTAGAACATTTGCAATTCAGTTGCAAGCAAATCGATGATGTCAATGAAACATCAACTAATACATGAATGAAATGATTTAAAATTGGCTACATTTTAGGACTAATAAAGTTCAAATTATGATACATTCTCAACTTCATATTTACTTAAGATATCCAAATATCTACATAAATTCATTGATTTGATATGAAATTTTTATGAACTTACTGGTCGTTTCTTGATGGATTGCATCACCTGGTGATGTTTGAATACTCATGTATATAATTATTTAATTATTTTTAATTCTCATTCATAAAATTCAATAAAGCTCAAAAAAATGTATAATATGTTCTTTCACATCCATTCAACAAAATGTTTTCATTTTTTCACATAACGTCAGGGGTTAATAATTAATACTGATTTTTTTTGTAAATTCCTAAATTTCAAATTATGAATAATCATCTAATCCAAAACATTATTATATATATAATATGAAATCACTTACATTCACTTGTTCCTTGTCAAGTTTATATAAAACATTTAAGATAAAAATAGAGTGCAAGATCTAGTATATGAGATTGAAACTTTTTGCACAAATCATGGATACTATATTGATCACTGTCATCTTTCGTCCATAAATCCTCACTCATTTAAATATATAATGAATTGAGGATATATGGATAACGAAGCCATAGAGTAATTTGCTTTTGAATAATCAAGTCATGCTAATAAAAATTTCACTTAATCATAATTTTTAATCTAAATTTTAGAATTAGATAAAAAAAAATATTTTCTTTTCTTTTCATATTAGAATTTAAAAATTATAATTGTAAAGATAAAAAGTTGATATCGTAATTAGTTTTGACTCTATGAAATTTTCTATCATCAATAAAACCTCAATGAACTGATCGTGAATTGTATACTGGCCTAAAAATTTTAATATTTCTTCGTCCAACATCAAAATAGATCAGCAAATTACTGATATATTTCTATCTTTATTGACTGATATCGTTTATCTCCATTGATTATGTTCAGTTGCATGTACTGAAATATCATAAAAAAATCTTGCATAATTAAAATAGGTCTTTTTTCTATATTATGTTTTTTTACACCTCAGAATATATTCAATGAATGTTATTATTTATTTGGATCTATTTTTTTGATTGATATGAGATGTATTTAATGATGATCATTCATATGTGTCTTTCAGCATTTACAAAATGTATTATCTTTTCAACTTGTATTAAATGATGTCGATATGATAAGAGAGGGTCTAGTTATCACTCACTTAGGGTTAACTAGCCCGCACCCTAGTATACGGTCTTATCTGATTGGTCGAACACTCTATAGTTACTACTGCATCCCTACTACCCTGCATTGACCAATAAGAGAACTGCGAGAGAATTGTATATATGGTTGATTTTTAAACTTACAATGTCATTGATCTTTCATGGCTAGGAACTATGTCTTCGCAAGAGTTGATATTTTCTTGAGCTTGATCTAATCTGCGATGAATGTACATGAACTTCTTCTGTAAAATAATCTGTTTTCTTTTTCAAAATTATTTCACGGAGAAATAAAATCAATCATCTAAATGATAGCGATTAAATGCGGATTTTTCATTATGATACTATTGGCCCGGATAAAATCATGATGAAAAATCGTAATCTAGTAGTTTTAATTTGTTTTACATTTATTTGTAAGAATTGTG